TGAATAAGTTAACACTGAATACCTAATGGGTTTTTGATTTCAATACAAATCGTATGAATATGATTGATCATCTTTGCCTTAATATTTAAGGTACATAGTTACATTAGCCCATACATAGTTATTGGCCAACTTGCTTAAAATGAAAAGAAACAAGCCTAATGGAATTTATTAAGAGAGGAAAAGAGACAAATATTTTTTCTGAGCAATACGCAGTCCAATGTAGTAAATATTTATGTCTCTTACTTATTAACAATCCAATATGCCAATAACTATGTATAGAGCTAATTACTATAGCAATAACCCTAGGTAAATCTATTTATAATTATTATAAATAGACAAAAATTATACACATAACAAACGACCACTTGGGCTGAGTTTCACCACCTAACTTTGACCGTAACTTTGATAATAACCGGTGTTTTTTGTATAGAGTTTGACATTTTTTTGACGTTTGTCAAAGTTAAAGTAAGATGGTGCAACCCAGTCTTAAGCAATTAAAATATAATAGCACTTACAATGATTACAAATGTATGTGCAAAAGTGTAAATAAATAAATAAATAAATTACAGTTATTGACTATCATACTCAGTCATTGCGCATTTAATGTGTGATGATACTCATAGATATTGAAAAGATAACATATTTTCGTAGCATTTGAATTCGCAATAACCAAATCGAAATCGAAACAATTGACATTAGAATTCTCATTCATTCGCATAGATCATGTGCGAGTTGGAAATCAAATATGCCAAAAAAAAGGTTTCTAGTAAAAATATAGCACATAAGTATACCCCTGAGATGTTTTGCCCACTTTTCTGTTACCTCACTACGTGAAAGCAATCACCTGATGCTCTGATGCTACATCTTTCTTTAATCCCACAGTTTCTTGTTCAGCCATAAATAACAGACCAGCTTAAATAATTCTACCCTCCAAAGCTTAACGTAAGCTCTGTATAGCCTGTTTTTCTCAGCCTAAACTTCGTTCTGTTCCACTCATTTATTACAACGCAGAGGCTGAGACGCAAAGAGGTCTTTATGTTCAAGAACGCTGTAATCGTCGCTAAAGATTATCATCATTAAGCGGAAAGTATTTTGCTTTATTACCATTTTATGTCCCGCTTTTTACAGCTACAGTTTTGCACAAATCATCAGCATTACTTATTACTTTCTAGATTGAATCCACAGATAGACAAAATATAAATGGCCTCCGATCGGATCTGAAATGAAAATAGCTTTCTAAATTTGTTTTTCTTCAGAGTTTCCATGTAGTAGGCAAGTGCGTTTTCATATTTTATAATGGCGCGTAAATGTCAAATGACGTACGTATTTGAAGTGATAAAGGACACCTACTCCACGCCTACTCTTATCCTTCAAAACAATTATTTATAAACAATTTTTTGTATACTACCACGCCAAAATTTTCCGCTCTTAAGTACACTGGACCAAAATATTCGTTAAAATGAAATATTATACTATAACAACAGAACTGGGCCACAACACTTGGCTCTTGTTTACTATAACTTATCCCTTGTTGACAAAGGCCGGGCATTACTGAGTTGCGCCTGAGGCTCTAGTATAGGGCTAAGCAGTAAGTCTAGATCATGAAGCATGGAAAAGAACGGTACCTATTTGCGATACTAGGAACTTAAAAACTAGTAACCTTAATAAATTAAAATATTTACTATTTTTATCATTTGAGTGTTTATTGGACCAATCAAATCAAGTCCATAACGTCAATAAGAGTTAAAAGATGAATGTACTAGTCAGATTAAATCAGCCTCTACAAGCGTCTAACTTCTCTTGCTTGTTTCTTTTCGTACCGCTATTAACTTATAAAATAAAAATAAATTTAAATATCCTTAGACATTTTACACTACGCTTCTAGTCCCAAACTAAGCAAAGCTTGTACTATGGGTACTACTTAAATACTTTTTTTGTAAATACATACATATTATTATACATATTAACACCCAGACCCGTCACAGAAATTAAAATTAATCATTTCAATTTCTGTCCGACCGGGAATGTTCGATTCCTCCGAATTCGGATTCTAGATTCTGGGACCTCTCGGCATAGTAGTCCGTTCCGAACCACTACACCAAACGGCCGACAGTATAAGCATTAATATAATCGCGTTTACATGATGGTATTGTCGCAGAGAGAAAACCTACTACTTATTCCACTGCACTGTGACTCATGCCCATAAATTCACTGTCCACATAAAGCATAATAAGGTCTTTGATATGGACGTCATTTTTAGACCGTGGACACTGGACATGCCGTACTATTGACATGACTCGTTTCACCGACCTATTGTGTAAGATACTTGGACCTATGTTCCGCGTTGATATTTATGCCCTTAACAGGGTCTTAGTGGAATGATGAGTGAACCTCTATGAAGGGGTCAAGATGGACCATTTTAACCTGTTTTTAGTGCTTTTTAGGACAAGATGTTGACAATTACAATAAGCATCGCATAACAATGTTCTCTTACATCGATTACCTATGTGATTTACTGATTATGGTTGAAAATGGAATATATTATTACACATTGAAACCTATGTCTAAACTAAACATTTCTACAGTCGGCTATTATATGTCTATTAGTGGTGGTCAATGAATCGCCCGTATTTTTAGAAAGGTCACGATTGTGATGAAAAGCAGCCTAATGTGTTTTTTCGTTCCCACAACGCAAAATGAAACCCTTACAAGAGCTTGAAAATGATTTTGACTTTATTTCATTTCTTGAAAGGTGTAAAAGCACTGTAGCGTTTACTGATAATACCTTATCACATAAAAGTATCACGATACATACTCCAATTTCATCGTAGATATTTTTATCACAATAGGAATGTCGATCTCAGACGAAATATTCTGAGATTGGAAAAATATCTGGCAGTCTTCAGAAAAAATGTCGACAGTTCGCCCATTCTTCGTTCGTTGTAAAATGTGATGTTTTCAGTCAATTTCAGCGTTCAATTGAGGCAGAAAATATCAAAATAACGAAAGAATGAACAGACGAGTAACTTACAAAGGACGTTCTTTTTTCCACTTAAGATACAATTGTTTCTCGTTTCTTTCGCCAAATAATGGGTACCTCTAGCTTTTTCCTGCGGCTTTACTTGCGTATATATCGGTTACTATGTCATTAATAGCTGCACTTTAGTGGCACCAGTACCATCCAGTCTAACTATGTAGGTATTTGACTAGATAAAAAGTAATAGTAATATAACGTAAAAGTATTGTAAAAGCTACTCTGGGAATTTATTCGTTAAATCGACAAACAGTCCTCTATTTTCATGAGCTCAGCTCGTATAAACCTCTTTTTCTGACATGTGTAAATTCATAACCTTAGAAGGATAATGAGCTTTTGGAGGACGTCCTTACCATTACTCATAAGCACGATTTATGAGATATCCAGCAGTGGGCGTTGATAAGTTTTCTTTATAAGTCACTAATATTTCTTAGTAAATGTTACCGANGGCTCTCTTGACAGACCTCCGTTACTCGCCTATGGCGGCCGAGATAATTACCTACAGCGCGCGACAACTTCAAGTTGCAAATCAGTCAGGGCCGCCACGCGCCTGTGAACACACGCGTATTTCTATACACGCTCGGTCGATCATCGTCGCAATCAAGTTTTATTGTTCCAACAGCACTGTTGAAAAATAATTAATTGTAGCAATTTAAATAATTAAAAAAATCTACACTTTTTAAATAATTTTGAAATATTCATGACAAAAAACTGTAGCAAAAAAAAATTTTAGCTAATAAAAACATTAACTTTACTTCACCGTGTGTATTTTGCGACACTACACCTTTTAAAACTGTTTGTCCAATTTCGAATTTATAGATGGTACGATTATACAAACACCACTAGATTAAAGTTTACCAATCGTAAATACAATAGGTAAATGTTTATTAAAATTAAGTTTTTATTTATTTTACTTTGCTTATACAACCCTGACGCTTGAGCTGTGAGGTAGGTCAATTCTGAATACAAAAAAATTGCACTCTTGTGAGCGTAGTAGTAAGGTGCGATTTCGAATGCACCATGTGCGTTGGATATTTAGCATTTGTTACCGATCACTTCCGGAGGAACATCACGCCCCGCCTACAGCACTTCTGCCAACTTCCGCTAATTGTCTGAAATAATTAAATAATGCCTTACAAATTGATTTGATCATATGAATCTTAATTAAACTGTTTTAATTTAATATTTGTCTATTTAGGTCAGCTTAATATGTTAAATGTGATTTAATGAAAATTAATAGTTGTTGTTATGTTTTCGAAACCGTGAAGTTGACACTGTGGAGAGGGGGTAATTGTGTATTTAATGGAGTGTACGGTGTGAGTCGACACATTTCTCTGTTGCTAATTGTAAGGGGTAACTCTGCCCGAATAAAGACTGGTCATTAATTCTGCGTAAATATTTCCACCCTGACCTCTGTTTACACGTCAGAAGTGGGATCTGCGGGTCAAAATGTCTGGTCCGTACATTAGCGGTCTGGGAGAACGAAAAAGAAGACACAGTGACTCCGAATCCACGACCACTGAAGATGAAGGAGAAATATGCAGTCAAAAACATCAAGAAAATTCCGATTTTTTTCTTCTACCGGATCAAGACGAAACCNTTAAAATTTACTATGTACATCAAACAATCTTTGCAAAGATTGCTTGGGATCAATTGGTTCCGTTTGCCAATCATACTGCAGGCAACTCGAACTATTTGACGCGCCAACCTCTGGTGGAGAGATCGGCTCGTAAAAGTCCGAGTCGCTGTCGGTAAGGTCGACAAACGGCACAGGCTTTTGAGACTCGGACAAGGTGGACAAGTCCAGATCTTTTGGCAGGCACTTGTCGATCGCGCTGACCAGCTCGCTTATTGCCAGCTGGTCAAGTGTTACCATCCCATCTTCGCCCGCACGTCCCATGAGCCACTCCGTGTGGGCGAAGATGTTGTCTTTTGGAGCTGGTTCCANCGTCAGAAGTGGGATATGCGGGTCAAAATGTCTGGTCCGTACATTAGCGGTCTGGGAGGACGAAAAAGAAGACACAGTGACTCCGAATCCACGACCACTGAAGATGAAGGAGAAATATGCAGTCAAAAACATCAAGAAAATTCCGATTTTTTTCTTCTACCGGATCAAGACGAAACCAACCGGACATCGGACAAAAAACGCCGTGTCACACCCACGGATGCCGAATTGATACCAAAATACCGCCCGGAAGATCAAAACAATAATGTGATTGGATGGTTGCATAAAATCGACCAGCTTGGTGATATCTATGAATGGAATAACAAGGATCGACAGTTTATTATGCAACTACGCCTGCGAGGGTCAGCGAGGGACTGGTATGAAGATTTGGAAGATTATAACCTCACTTGGGACCAGTGGAAAACCGCCCTGCAAACAGCGTTTCCTCGATCTACAGATTTCGTGGATAAGCTTGAACAAATGTTAGCAAGATCAAAAGAAGATAGTGAATCAATGACAAAATATTATCATGAAAAATTGTCATTGCTTAGGAAGTGCAAAATTGGAGGAAGCGATGCAATTTCGTGCATCATTCGAGGATTACCGGCAGAACTTCGAAACAACGCAAAGGCTTATAAGTGTGAAACGCCAGAGCAACTCTATTTTGGATATTTATCGTCGCTCGAAAACTTCAAGAGAGTGGATGCAGCTTCTACATCGCGCAAGTCTACATGGAAAAGAGGCAACGCAAATTCGTCTACCGGAAGTACTGGAACATCAACACAACTGGTGCCGAGGGTATGCTTCGTGTGTCGACGCGTCGGGCACGAGGCGCGGGACTGCAGACTACCTCCGCGCTGCGAGACCTGCCGCCGTCCGGGACATACGACGGCAGCGTGCTGGTATGCTACGAGCTCTTCGCGTCCACAAACACAACAGGTGCATAATATTTTACATATTACTTATGATATTTATTTAGATATTTATAAGCGAAATGTGATGGTTAATGGGTTACAAATGATTGCTTATATTGACACGGGCAGTAAACTTAACATTCTCACAATTAATATGGCAAAAAAACTTAAAACTCGAAATTCATCCGTCAACTACAGTGATGAAAGGATTTGGAGGCGGTTGTATTCAATCATTAGGAAAATGTGAAATTGCGGTGTTAATTGATGGTATGGTATTAAAGGGTGATACGGAATTAACGAATTGTAGTATGGCCGAGATAGATTTGATTATTGGGCAGACAATGATAAACCAGGAAAACGTTAGCTTAGTTACTACAGCCACCTCTGCGAATTTTGTTCCTTCTGACAACATCATGGATGTATTATCGGCTTTTCAACCAAATGAAGATGAACTTCGTACTAAATTTCCAGTTTATCTAAAACATGAAATCACAATTCCTAAACACAGTTACGCATTTGTTGAGATCTATATAGACTGTTTAAATAGTGATAAGCAGGAGCATACGTTTCTTACACATCCAGTCTATTTTGAATTGGGGAATATGTCTTATTTCATTCCGGAAACTATTATTGAATCAAAACAGCCGTTACTGAGGGTAATTAATGTAGGGGATGTCGACATTGTTTGGGCAGCAAATAAGTTAGTAGCCAGGGTAGAATTAATACAGGGTGAGGATTATAAAATTAATTCGAATGTTTTCATGGTCAGTCAAGGTGAACCTGATAGAACTCCAATCACACGGTCTGATATTGATGTAGGTGATCTTAATGACTCTGAAATGAAACAATTATTAGAGTTACTTAATAGATACGCCGGTTCATTTGCCAGGGATACTAGGGATCTAGGTTGTACAGACTTGATTGAGATGCATATACAGACTAATACAAATCAGCCGGTTTACTGTAAACCGTACAGATTATCACACAAAGAAAATGAGATAGTAAACGAGAAAATCAAGGACTTGTTAGATGCCGGCATAATTAGAGAGTCGTTCTCAGAGTATGCGAGCCCAGTCGTACTAGTTAAAAAGAAAGGGGGCGATTACAGGCTTTGTGTCGATTATAGGGCCCTAAATGCGCGAACTGTTAAGGACCGTTACCCATTGCCTCACATCGAAGACCAGGTGACTCGGTTGTCAGGGAAATGCTTCTTTACTGCTCTAGACCTAGCACAAGGGTACTATCAGGTGCCAATAAGTAAAGAGTCTGTAGACAAAACTGCGTTTGTCACACCGTCAGGGCAGTATGAATTTTTGAAAATGCCGTTCGGTTTGGCCAATGCACCTGCTGTTTTTTCACGACTTATTCAAATGACTCTAGCTAAAGTTTGCAAAGACATAGCTCTTTATTTAGATGACGTAATGATACCTACTCTTAGTGTCTCAGAGGGGTTAAAATTATTAGAACAAGTTTTGCAATTACTGAACGAAGCAAACTTAAAACTAAACTTAAAGAAGTGTTCTTTCCTAAAATCAACTGCCACTTATTTAGGCCATGAAATCACTGCAGGGACTATACAACCCGGAACTGCTAAAATAAAGTGTGTTGCCGAATACAAACGGCCACGAAACGTTCATGAAATCAGACAATTTATAGGATTAACGTCTTATTTTCGAAAATTCATCAAAGGCTTTGCTGAGATTGCTCGTCCGCTCACAGAGCTCACAAAGAAAGGAGTTGAATGGCATTGGGGTTCCGACCAAGAAAACGCTTTCGAGACATTAAAAAGCAGATTGGTGGAACGACCAGTTTTGGGGCTGTACGACAAAGATGCCAGAACTGAGCTTCATACCGATGCCAGTAGGATAGGTCTAGGTGGGGTTCTTTTGCAATATCAGGGAGACGGGAGTCTAAAACCAATCGCTTATTTTAGTAGGGTCACTTCTAGCGAAGAAAAGAACTATCACAGCTACGAACTTGAGACGCTCGCGGTGGTAGAGTCTCTCAAGCGGTTTCGTATTTATCTGACCGGGATTCCTGTTAAAGTTGTTACGGATTGCGCTGCTCTCAGAACTACCTTAGTTAAAAAAGACCTGATTCCTCGTATTGCCCGCTGGTGGCTTACTATCCAAGATTTCGATTTAGAGATAGAATACAGGCCTGGTAAACATATGCAACACGTAGACGCTCTGAGTAGGAATCCCGCTTCACCTTCAGTACTCATGATAGATAACTCGGATTGGTTAATGACACTACAAATGCAGGATGAAAATACCCAGAGTATTTTATCACAGCTGCGTGATCCGGAAGTGCGTTCAGATATCAGAGCTAATTACGTAGAGAGGGATGGCATATTGTTTCGAAAGACTTTAACAGGAGAAAGGTTCGTTATTCCAAAGTTGGCTAAATATGGTTTATTACAAAAGATGCACGATCAAATAGGGCACCCAGGGTTCGAAAAATGTGAGAATTCCATTAAGTCTCAATTTTGGTTTCCCAAAATGACTCGTTTCATTCGGAAGTACATTAACTCATGTCTACAATGTGCGTTTGGAAAAGGTAACCATGGCAGACTGGAAGGAGAGCTAAATCCGATTCCTAAAGTAGCCGTTCCAATGCATACTTTGCATGCAGATCATTTAGGCCCATTTGTAAAAACGCGTAAAGGAAATACGTATGTTTTGGTAGTCATAGACTCTTTTACAAAATTTGTATTTGCAAAAGCAGCTAAAAATTGTAGCTCTATAGAAAGTATTCGGATAATGAAAGAAATTTTCACTCAATTTGGTAACCCTACCAGAGTAATCACTGATAGAGGAAAAGCCTTCACAAGTCGCTATTTCAAACAATTTTCGGAAGAGATGCAATTCAAACATATATTGAACGCTATAGCAAGTCCCCGCTCGAATGGTCAGGTGGAACGGGTTAATCGCACTTTACTGAACGGCCTTAATACTATGTCGGAAAGCGAATGTACGTGGGACAATAAATTGGCTGATGTTGTTTGGGGTATTAACAACACTCCCAATTCTACTACAGGCATCGCTCCTTTTAATCTCATGTTTGGTCACACGAATACTCGGTTTCCGGCTTTTCCTGTAGACGCACCTCTAGACTCTGACTCCCAGAGGCAAAATTTAGAAGCTAGAAGGGAATCTGCTAAACTACGAATTGATAGGAATATGACCCTAATGAAAAGTAGGTTTGATAAAAGACACAAGAAATGTACAAAGTATAACATTGGGCAGCTTGTTTTATGGAAAGGAGGGGTATCTAGAGACACCACTGCTAAGGTCACAAGGAAACTCGATGGATTATATACAGGTCCATATAAAGTGTGTAAAGCCGATAATCTATTAAATCGTTACACCATAACTAGCATCAAGGGCATGAAGGGTTATAGGCGATTTAGTGCAGTTGTTACAGGCGAATCTCTTCGGCCATATAAAACTGCTATTTCTGATGATGACACCTCTGGTAGTGACCACGAAGCAGATCGCGATGATTTGATTGACCTGTTAGAAAGTTAAATTGTTTCAAGAAGCATTTCTTAGGATTAGGCTTTGTCTTATCTTAAAGTAGGTATGTGTGTATGTTTATTTTTAATGTAATTTGAAACGCCTACATAGTACTTCTTTAATTATAGAAATTTGATAAATTATTGCAACACTCAGTGGCGATTAGAAAATTGCATTATATGTGATCTATTCATAAATTTACTAGTACTAAATAGATAGATTATAATAAACAGGAGATATTAAAAAAAAATATACAATCAGTATTTCATAAAATTAGTACCTATTCATACATAGATTTGTATAAATTAAATTATGATGATTTTTTATGAACCGTATGTTAAATAAGATTTAGAATACTTATTGGTTTGTTGTGTAATATAAACCTACTAAATTGACTGCTAAGTATTATTTGAAGCTACAATTTTAATGCTTATAAAAACGTAAAGTGAAAGAATCCGTAATCTGATTCTCGCGGTTGACTGGTANTGTGTGTATGTTTATTTTTAATGTAATTTGAAACGCCTACATAATACTTCTTTAATTATAGAAATTTGATAAATTATTGCAACACTCAGTGGCGATTAGAAAATTGCATTATATGTGATCTATTCATAAATTTACTAGTATAGCCTGACCAGGAACATAAAAACCCTCGCCATGTTGCGGAAAACTAATGGTACTAATTTCTTTTAATGGCAACAGTGACTGAAAACTTCATTGACATGTCACCTTGCATGTCAGTCTATTGCTGTCAAAGTGTAAACAAAGTTTATTTTAAATGTGCGCAATTGGTTTTATGGATTTAATTGCTAAAATATTTTTATAGTCGTGAAAGAAAAGTGGTTCACAATGTGTTAAAGTATTTGTCGAAGAGAAATACTAAGGGTTTGGACAATATTTTCATTGAATAATGTTTCCGACAAAGGTTGTCAAATTGACTGAAATGTTTATCGTATAGTACAGTCCACTATGAAAATTAGCTGTGGTTTGTTTCAACTACCTATTTTAAAATTTTTTGTCACTTTCTAAGTGTTGAATTTTATGGGATTGGGAAAGAAGTACCGAGTTTGAAGCGTTCATGAGCAGACATTGCAGTTGAATATTCAAGTTCTGAATTTGATTATTGATGAATAATAAAATAAATTCTACTAGCTCGATTGATGGTTTCATTTAATTTATTTAAATCAGGTTACCTATAATAATATTTTTTCGTTAATTTATGAAAATATCAAATTAGTCAGGACTACGGGCTAGTAATCCTGAATCCTGATACATAAAGTTAGCCTATTAATTTAACACAGGTACGACTGTACTCAGTGTTGCACTATCAAATGCAATTGACGCGCCTCTATGCCAGGGTTTTTATGTTCCTGGTCAGGCTATACTAAATAGATAGATTATAATAAACAGGAGATATTAAAAAATATACAATCAGTATTTCATAAAATTAGTACCTATTCATACATAGATTTGTATAAATTAAATTATGATGATTTTTTTATGAACCGTATGTTAAATAAGATTTAGAATACTTATTGGTTTGTTGTGTAATATAAACCTACTAAATTGACTGCTAAGTATTATTTGAAGCTACAATTTTAATGCTTATAAAAACGTAAAGTGAAAGAATCCGTAATCTGATTCGCGCGGTTGACTGGTAGATAATACCACTGAGTACATCTGCTATAAAGTATTAGTAAATTAATTAATTACTCAATTTGAAGGACAGCTATTTGATTAAGTCATGGGTAGACTGTATCAACTGTGTGATAATAATATAAATTAATTTCTGTGTGATCAAATTCTATAAAGTATATTATACTATGTGACTACTTATACCTATATTTCCTGAGAAGGGCTGTGTGATCAAATTCTATAAAGCATATAATACTGTGTGACTACCTAACATTTCCTGAGAATGGNAAGTATTATTTGAAGCTACAATTTTAATGCTTATAAAAACGTAAAGTGAAAGAATCCGTAATCTGATTCGCGCGGTTGACTGGTAGATAATACCACTGAGTACATCTGCTATAAAGTATTAGTAAATTAATTAATTACTCAATTTGAAGGACAGCTATTTGATTAAGTCATGGGTAGACTGTATCAACTGTGTGATAATAATATAAATGAATTTCTGTGTGGTCAAATTCTATTCTATTCATCAATAAATGAATAAGTAACCTATCTTCCCAAGAATGGCTGTGTGATCAAATTCTATAAAGTATATTATACTATGTGACTACCTATACCTATATTTCCTGAGAAGGGCTGTGTGATCAAATTCTATAAAGCATATAATACTGTGTGACTACATAATATTTCCTGAGAATGGCTGTGTGATCAAATTCTATCAAGTATATTATACTATGTGACTACCTATACCTATATTTCCTGAGAATGGCTGTGTGATCAAATTCTATAAAGTATAATATAATGCTGTGTGACTACATAATATTTCCTGAGAATGGCTGTGTGATCAAATTCTATAAAGTATATAATACTGTGTGACTACCTAATATTTCCTGAGAAGGGCTGTGTGATCAAATTCTAATTGTGTGACTATACTTAAATTTCCCGAAAATGGCTACTACTGCCTAAATAAAACAAAGTAGACATTCATTTAGGTACTGTGTGACTAAATTTATCTGATCCAAGAATGGCTGTGTGATCAATTTCTTTAAAGCAAAGTAAACATTAATCTGTGTGATTAAACCTATTTTTGGAAATAATTGCTGTAATAACATAATAAGGTGAAAAAAAACAGCGATAAGTTGATACACAAACTTTATTATTCGTTCTTTCAGAGAACTACTGTTCCTCTTTTGTTTGTTTTCAGAATTCTAACATCAACTTGGAGAAGAATGACGGTCGTGGGACACGACCAACGCAGGATGGCCGAGTGTTACCGANTACCTCTACCCTTTGTGAGCGACCCAATAAATAACTTGAAAACCATTTTAGTGTTAAATTATCGAAACCGTAGTAGATGAGTTTAGCCAAAAGTAGAGATGTATTGATAGTGTCAAATGCGCGAGAGTAATCCAGCAAGACTAACACCGCGCCCTCCCCCACATCTCGCCCTGCCAGTAAATCGTCTATTACATCCAATAGTGCTGTTGCTGTACTTCTTCCCCTCCTAAAACCAGACTGCTTCTGAGGTAGAATATTATTGTTAGAAAGGTATTCTGTTATTTGCTGACACACTACTTTTTCTACTATTTTGGACATAAAGGGCAAAATGCTAATCGGTCTTAAGTCCTTAAATTCGGTGGGATGGCTAGTCTTAGGGATTGGTTTTATTATAGACTCTTTCCATATTTCAGGAAAAATACCAGTGCTGATCGACATGTTCACGATAGCAGTGATAACACTGAGTGACTGCGGAAGTGTCAACAGAACCATATTCAAAGAAATTCCATCTATGCCTTGGGCATTGGTTGTGATATTCCTAATAATTTTAAATATAGTTGTTTCATCGACAGGTTTCAAACTAAACTTGCTATGACCAAAGCGATTAAAACAGAAGTACGTTAGTTGTGAGATGCTAATATTATCTTGATGGCTAGGGAGTGCGAGGAAATGTTTGTTAATGTCATTGGGATTATTCATATTATCTGGTAAGTCTGTATTTTTTTTATTGAAGTCAACAATATTTTGTTTAAGATTTTTCCAAAGTGTACGAGGATCATTGACATTTTTATTTATAAATTGCTGAAAGTAAGCAGTTTTTTCATTGTGGAGTGCTTCCGACTTACCACTTTAGTGGAGCGATTACAGAAAATAATGGCCTATTAAGTACATGTTTTTTTGTGTTATTATGAAAGTTCAGAAAACTGCGCAGTTTTTAAAATTATTTTGGACCTATGGAATTTCTTTTTTTTTTTAAACTTTTAAGTTGAAAATTTTAGGATGTTCCGCTAAAAGCATATTTTTTTATGTTTCTAGCAAAAATTTTGTATCTTGCATCAAAGATAGGAAGTTGATCATTTTTTTTCAAAAATCTACAATTAATAGGGAATCTGTCAAAAAAAAGAAATCTGAGAAAAGTCGACCCAAAAAAAAGATAAAAAAATTTAAAGCCTACTGGGTCATACAATTTGAAAAAATCACAAAATTAACGATAACTTCTAAAGTATGAAAAATCGTAGAACATACATGGGGGTGAAATCGATAGGTCTAGTCCTCACCTATCACCTACCTTCGGCTTGACACCTTACAAGAAACACCCTGTATAATTATATGACTATATCACAGCGCACAAAAAACGGCCATGGCACTTCCATAACTGGCGCATAGTAAGCAGGCCTTATGTGTACCTACTGTCTGGTAACTGGTAACTAACAACAAACTAACTGGTAAAACAATCAATAATTTAAAAATACTTCTTCGAAAATATGAAGGACATACTTCCTACTCGTATTTATTTAACTCAAAATACCTGTTTTCTGGATGTTATAATTAATTTATCAGAAATCTAGGTATTTACCTAACGTGTGCTCTTTCATCTTTGATTGTGTTTTATCAAAGAGGAACATAAATTAGCCCATCTAACAGACGTAAATCTGTTTAAGAGCGTTTACGCCGTTTGGCGCAAAAACAGTACTTTTTCAACTCGTTACAATCATTAACCAGTAATACTACAAATATGTTATAGGCATAAATAGTTAGGCAATTTCGTCGTCTAAATAGTTAATTGAGAAAATATTGCGATCAGTTTAGTATTTAAGAATTATATCAAGATAAGTCCACACAGGTGTTGTAAATTTC